AGACCACCATCTCCCTGCCTACCGGCACCACTCACACTATAGCCGAGGCTAAGACCCGGCCCAAGGTTACCACCGCTCGCAACACTTGAGGGGTAACCCGTGGCATCGCAAGACTGACTTACGCCAGCGCCAACCCCTTGGTAACTAACGCCACCTCCGTAGGCAGGACCATAGAAACTGGAACCACACTGATTGTTCCCAATTCCATGAGTATCCGCAGCACTACCGTGGAACCCAGGCGCCCCACCAGGGTAACCCCCGGTAGGAGCCCCTCCACTCGGGCCTCCAGAAGGCCCAGCGGAATCTTTGCCTCCACCATAATGCCCAGGACCTGGCGGTGGAGCTGGGGCATGTCCATGCCCACCAGTTCCGCTCCCACCTTGACCAGGTGGTCCGCCTTGCCCACCACCTCCCCCGGGAGGAGGAGGAGGGGGTGGTCCAGCTTGAGCGCGTTCATGCCGAATATTGCAGCGTGCACATCGCTCAAGGCCGTCATTTCCGAAGTAACTGTGATTCTCACAAACGTGAGTCCCACAATCCGTACAGAGATACATGGAGACCTCCTGAGCATTCTTGCGGCATGCCCAGCATTTCATTTTCAAGAAGTGACAATTGCAACAGTCCCCGTCGTCACCACGGCAAAGCCCGCAGAACTCACGACTGCATGTCACACACGAGAATTCAGCATTCGGGTGCTTACGGTCGTTGGGATCATCGAGGGCACAAATCTTTGGCGCGTCTGGGCCATCACCGCCGGGAGCCCCTCTTGCAGCCGGCGCTGAGGCCTGTCCACGATCCGAAGGAGCTCCAGCAGTCCCTCGCCTATCGCCGGGACTCTGGGTGTCGGCGCTGGCTCTACTCCCAGGAGTCCTCCACTCATCACCAGGACTCTGGATGTCGGCATGGACCCTATTATCCCCACCACCTCCTGAATGACGACCTGGGTTCGGAGAGACGTTCCCGCTATCGCGGATTGGCCTATCAAAATTCGGAGAGACGCTCCCGCTATCGCGGATCGGCCTCTCCCCCCTCGGTTGTCGACTCCGGGCCTCAGATCCCCTATCGGGGACGGCAGCAGGCCTCGGGCTCCTATTCCTACCCGCATCCCTATTGGGGGAAATAGAAACGTCCCCCCTTGCGCGCGCGCGGGGACCACCCCTTGCACGCTCCGGTGGCGAATGTGACCTGTCAGGCAACCCCCGAACCCTCCTGCTCCTGCTGTCGGACCTCTCCCTAACGGGATAGATGGGATGCCTGTCTGCGCGAGAAGGATCGACCCTATCGGGCACATTCGGCAAAACATGATCAGGCAAAACAACGCCTCCGCCTGGTCTCACCGGCAGGCCAGTACCCCGGCCGTCACCTTCCCCTGGTGTAGGCGTCGGTGACCTGATCCTATGTCCTTGCCCCGCAAATGCATGGTAACCAACATTCCGTCTTTCTCTGGGTTGTGGAGGAGCTTCATTAATCTGCTGGACACCCTGAATAATGCCAGCAGCCTCGTCAAATTGACCCTCCATCTCAAAGAGCTGGGACATGATTCTGTTGTTCGCGGCGCTAAGGTTACGCACGTTACCATCGATAGCGCTGACTCTCCGCATAACACCTTCAAGTGTACTCCGGAATGTGCCGAGCTCTCGCCTAACGGCAGGCTGCACTTGGTCACTGCTGGCAGGAAGATTACGGATCTGTCCTTGGATGCCATCAACGACCCGATTCACAACTGCCGATCTCGCTTCATACTGTTCAACATGTGACTTCACGGTTTCAAACCTCGAAATGATGTCGTCATGATCCCGACGTTGACGTTGAATTCCTCGAGCCAGATCCTGCATCTTCCGATTGATCTCGTCAACAGCCTCATGCCAGTCCTGCGGGGAATCATGCCCTGATGGTCTATCGACCTCCTGAGAACCCCTTCCACTCTGCAGTCTAGACACTCGATTAACAAGACGAGTGTGCTCTTCTTTGACCCCTTCAATAGATTCAGAGGCCCACTTGGCAAACGTCTCGTGATCAAGGAGAGCTTTCTCGATCTTCAGGTTTAACTCCCTGAAATTTGCATCGACTACACTGCCGCTGGCCCTATCGGACGGATGCGCGACAGGATTCGGGTTCCATACACCTGCCGGTGTCCGCATCCCAACGGTTTTCTCTACCGAGAACATCCGTTTCTCAAGCTTGTCCAAATCCTTAAGGATCTCGTCCTCAGAAGCAGCATGGCTTCTGCGGGCAGCCTCATTATTCTCCTGAATCATCAGGCGAAGCCGATCAGTCGATGCCTCATTGTCCCTGACAGATTCATGGACCTCGTGGGACAGTAGGTTAATCCTCTGCTCCACGACCTCGGCTTGCTCATCGATGGCTTGCCTCACAATGGCCTTGCTATCGGGAATAACTTCCCTTGCGAACCGTTGAACTATCATTCGCATCCTCCCGGCATCAGATTGAGTCGCAACCTCAGCTGCCAGGCGATCGACCTTGTCCTTCGTCCGTTGACTCTCGTCGCTCCATTCCCTTCGCATGGAACTCACCTGACCGTTCAGTACCCTGATTTGGTCAGCAAAGATGTGGAACGCCTTCGCGACTGAGCCAGAAACCTCACCTCTCTCGAGCATCTCTTGGATGTGCAAATCGAACACCTCCTTCGCCCTAGCGTCACCTGATTCGCCGGAAGACTGGGATCTAAGGGCGGGAGGAGTCGATATCTCGATCCTCTCAGGAGCCCCACTAGCCCCGGCATGTCTTCTGGGGTCATCCACGGGACAATCACCAACCCCAGATGGCCTGCTAGGAGTAGAACCCCTTCTACGGCTATCGCCGGAACGGGGATCAACATGGGACGCACGAGACTCGGGAGTAGAGTGGATGTGAACATCAGCAGGATCAGGCATCTCCTCATCCTGCGGAGTTGAGTCCATTGGTGAGGGGCTAGCCCTCCTCGCCTTCGACCTATCGGTCTCAATGGCCAGGGGTGACGGTCTCTTCGCAGAAGCACTACGTTCCCTGGCGGTCGAGCCCCATTGAGGTGTGAACTCGTTGCTGGACCTTAGCGTTTCAAGGTCACTGGTATCTCGCCCTAACGGGCTAGCGATCGACGGACGATCCTCGATTCCGAGTGCATCGGCAAGCCGGCCATCTCTTGCACCTCTCCCAACGACATCGGCAACCCGCTCAGTGACTCTCGGCGAACCAGTAACCCGGTTCGAGTTCACGTCTCTCTGATTTAACGGACCTCCAAACGTAATGTTGGGAAAAGGGGGAACATTCGGGGTATCACCAATCGCCGGGGGACCTACCGGTCCCTCACGGTCATGGATGGCCTCCAATCCCCGAAGAACTTCCCGACTGTCCCTGGCTCTCTCTCTCTCGCTTCGGGCATCCCTGTCAACGCGAAGGTCCCTGGCGGCTCCACGAGAGAGGCTCCTGGGCCTCGCAGCATCACGGATCCTAGCATTTCGTCGTGGTTGGTCCTCCTCCTCATCACGGCGATCCGCAAACGCGGCATACTCGTCATCATCATCGACCTCAAACTTGGCAGCGGCGGGACTAGTCCTTGCAGTCGCACGGCTGCCTGCATTTCGGCGCGAATGGCTCTCCTCCTCATCCGCAAAATTGTAACCTTCGCCATCATAAGACTCAGATTTGGCAGTATTGGGGTTGGGCCTACCGGCATCAGATCCCTGCTTTGAGCTACTGCCCCAACCTGCGGTTGATTTCAACAGATCATCGTATCCGAAGTCTGAGAACTTCCGCTCCTCGTGCTCATCACACTGACCTGGATTCTGAGAACCAGTGGATCGGCCCGGGATACCTCCCGGAGCCAGAACCATAGTCCCTGGTCCCTGCGGCCTATTCTCAAACTCATCCGAGACCTGCGACTCACCTGGAACAAGAGATCTCGGAGGTCGAATCGGCATGGCCTCCGGGTCATCCGAATGAGGGCGGGCCATGTCCATCGCCATGCTGATGAAGTCAAAACGTCCACGCCTGTGACCTGATTCAGAGCCACTCCTATCGGAGTAAACCCTTCGTGTCTGCTCGTCATCAGTGGCCTGGCGGAAAATACGATCGTCTCCATCGTCGGCGTACCTGCCACGGCCCCTGGGTGTATCCCTACCGGGATCTTCACCCCTGCGGTCCTGACCTGTCGAACCTGCTTCGAAATCCTCGTAGTCATAGTCCGGTAGGTCCTCACCTGAGCGGAGGCCACCTAGGATGGCCTCCTCATCCACGACGCTCCTTCGAGATCGTGGGGTCGACATAGAGCTTGTAGTTGATGGTCTCAAGCGCGTAGGAAAGTCCTACGGCTGATAACCTGTGATTCGGGCACGAGCCTGTGCCCAGGCAATGGGTAAGTTGGGGTAAACAAGCCACAAAAGAAAGGTTCCCCAAAAGCAAACCAATCCCCGGTCCCAAAGATCAGGGTTTCCCACACACCAGAGAACAACAACCAAAGGAAAACAAACCAAACAAGAAAAGGGTTAACCCGCAACCTTGGTCGACAACAGGCCGCACGACTGGTCCCTACCAACCTGGCGGCGGCCCGAGGTCTCTTTCTCCCCCGAGATGCCGTCGGTCGACGCAGGGGCTCGGCGACGCCCATTCGAGGCGCGACGGAACCCAAAACTTGAGCCAAACACCACAGGTCAGTCACTACCGCGACATCCCTGGTGATGAAATAAACCATGGCTAATCACACAATCTGACAATTGACCCAAGCCTGTTCGTACATCTCGTTTGCCTACTCGCTCAAAACGGTGTTGTGGTCTCTGAGACCAAGTAAAACAAATGCATAAACATTAGCAATTCGTTCTGCTGCGGAGAGTGGCCGATGGAGATCAAAGAGACAGACCTCCAATTACGAGCACTATCCCCCGGAGCTGGAGTCTTGGGTACATCTCAAGCAGGCAAACATAATTTTGGCTGAACGAACCCATCTTTCCCCACATTTCCAGCAGTGCGCTCCACGAGTTCGATCCGCCTCGCAGTCTCCGCGCCTCGGCGCCCTGGGCTCCGATCGCGTTCCTAAAAAGGAAAATCTCCTTGAGGCTTCCGTTGGCCTTCAGCATCTCAGCGATCGCCTGGCAGAGCGTCGATGCCAACCCTGGACCCACGGCAAGAAAGAAAAACACGCGCGCACGAAAAGGTTCTAGAATTCCCTTAGAATTGGAGATGTCAGTTTGCAAGTACCAACTAACAAGTTGGTGACACAATGATGACAATAGCACTCCAAAGCATTGGGGAAAAAAAGAAAAATGCAAACCCATGCTTGCATGGCGTGCCTCGACGTTTCAACGCCAACCATCCTCTGCAATTGGAGGGCACAGAATGGCTGTGCAACAGAATTCTGCGAGAAACCCACCCATTCTGCTTCTGGAAAACATGGGCTTGAAAGCGGTGGAAAAAATAGTCTGCTGCCTGCTCAGGCTATAAGCCTAACGCCATGACAACTGCTGCGTCAACGAGCTCGGCAAGCACGACTGAACGGGCATCGTGGACTGGGACTCTCCGAAGGGTTTGTTTGGGCTGGCCAGACCCGTAAGGCACGGAGATTGTCGGGACGCCCTGATCTGAAGGGGCGACAGAGCCAGAAAGCTGAGAGAAGGTTGAGGGGCCTGGTCGTCAAAACCAGATCTTGAGGCATGCCTTTGAGAGTGCGGATCGGCCGAGCCAAGGCTCCCTGGCTAGGGGCTGCTTGGCACCAGGACCGCAAGCTCTGGAGGCAGAGCGAGATGATGGAGCCTCAACCTGGAGCTCAAGGGCATTGCTGGGAGGTGCTGGAAGCAGCGCTGAAGAGCTTCATAGAAGAAGGCTGCTGGGTTGCTGAAGAGCCTGAGAGGTGGTTGGAAGAGGCTGTCCGGCAGGTGGAAAGGGCGGTTGGAGCTGGAGGAATCCCTACGCCAGCGGATGAGGTGAGGAGGACTGAGGCTTGCGAAGCGGATTGGTGGTGGACGTTTCCTATTGGCTCGAAAACTGGAGCTAAAGGAGATGTCTTTGCAGGCGGAGGGCAAGTTGGAAGAGGCGCCCAGCTGGCAACCGTGGAGGGATACAGACGCGAGGCCTTTGGAGCGAGAGACGTCGTTGGCAAGGGAGGGCGGTGGAGGTTTTATTTGAAGGAGGACATGAGGCAGCGGCACCCGGGCTGTCTTTACATCGCTGCCATGCCCAACTGTCACGAGGCTGAGGCGTGCGTGCACCCCGCTGAGGAGGCTGAGGGACGGCGAGGAGGCTTCAAGAAAAAGGCGGCGGAGTGGGGTTGCTCTGGATTTACTTGGGAGTTTCATAGCAACTCATGACAACAGTATTCCAAAGCGATGCACAAACATATTCAAAGACCACGAACGCTGCGAGCGCGGCAAGAACAGCTGATGAGGCGACGGTGGAGAGGGCATTCTTCGGGCAAGGATGGCATGAGGGTGGAGTCTGTCCTGTTTTCGGTGGCGGCGTTGGAATTGTCCGGTTGGGCTGAATGGCGTGGCCACTGGCGGAGGCATCTGCAGCAATGCCTGCACTCGAGCTCGAGCCGCAGATCGGGAGCAGCGAGCGTATATGACAATGATGTTTCTTCCAGCAGCTACGAGTGATCCGGGCAAAGGCCGAGGGGGCCGGTGCAGCCCACGCCAAAAAAATCGAGGAAGCGAAACCCTCCGGCCCTCACCGGAAAGACACATGAGAACTAGCGTGCGCGAACTGCTCCTATCTCCACTGCTGGGATGCGAAGCCGCAGTTAAGAGAAGAGTGCGGTGGGGCATCTTCGATAACTGCTCCTTGGAGGAGAACAGGAGAGCGCTGCCAAATGGCAGGTCTGAAGCCAGGAGATGAGGAGTGGGATGGAGTGGGGGGGAGCATTTGGCACAAGGGTCAACGATACAGCTCCGGAGTGAAAGGCTGCTTGGCACTCTGGAAGATGGGCCAGGTCCTCGTGAGGCCTGTGCTCGAGCTCGAGCCGCAGGTGAGGAGCAGCGAGCGTATATGACAATGATGTTTCTTCCAGCAGCTACGAGTGATCCGGGCAAAGGCCGAGGGGGCCGGTGCAGCCCACGCCAAAAAAACCGAGGAAGCGAAACCCGCCGGCCCTCACCGGAAAGACACATGAGAACTAGCGTGCGCGAACTGCTCCTATCTCCACTGCTGGGATGCGAAGCCGCAGTTAAGAGAAGAGTGCGGTGGGGCATCTTCGATAACTGCTCCTTGGAGGAGAACAGGAGAGCGCTGCCAAATGGCAGGTCTGAAGCCAGGAGATGAGGAGTGGGATGGAGTGGGGGGGAGCATTTGGCACAAGGGTCAACGATACAGCTCCGGAGTGAAAGGCTGCTTGGCACTCTGGAAGATGGGCCAGGTCCTCGTGAGGCCTGTGCTCGAGCTCGAGCCGCAGGTGAGGAGCAGCGAGCGTACATGACAATGATGTTTCTTCCAGCAGCTACGAGTGATCCGGGCAAAGGCCGAGGGGGCCGGTGCAGCCCACTCCAAAAAAATCGAGGAAGCGGAACCCTCCGCGTGGACCCTCACCGGAAAGACACATGAGACCTGGCGGGTGCGCTGCTCCGATCGTCGTTGCAAAGCCCCAGTTAAGAGAAGGAGAGTGCGGAGCTCCTTGGAGGAGAAGAGCGCTGCTAAGTGGCAGGGCCACGCATTGTCTGAGGGCAGGAGAGAGTGGGATTGGAGTGGGATCGGTGCCAAGGTGGAAGTGCATTTGGCACAAGGGCCAATCGGTCCTGGGATGTGCGAGGGCCACCGACATCTTTTGCCTTGATAGATCTGGCGGCCCCGCTCGCAGGGTGTGTGCGCTTGGACATCCACTCGAGACTTGACACCTTCGTGGAGCTGCTGGCCTGAAAGCTCCGAGCCATCATAGGCAGACTAGGCGGAAACGCAACTCGAGGTCTAGAGGGTTGAGGCTCTACATGGCAGAAGAGGATCTGGAAAATGTTGCCCTTTTGGATGGAGGCGCCGCAGGATCCAGAAAGCTCTGTAGAGAGGGCAGAGGAACTACGTGAGGTGGAGAAGGATGAAGCGGAGGGTGGCGACGATGCCGTCGAGATCAAGGACGATGGAGAGAAGAGGCTGAAGAAGGCTCAAGAGAAGCAGGAGGTGGTCAGAAGGAGGTGGCTGGAGCTTTGTTGCGGGTGGTCACCAAGCTCAAGTACTACGGCCTTCCGGCAAGGAGACCCCGCAGCTCCGGAGTTGGTGAGTTCACCTCCAAGGAGGCTCGGCAGTCGGCAGCGGACTGGATGACGATGCGAACACTCACGGATGGGAGCTGCTCGAAAACGAGCCCTGCGGAAGGGGAGGCGGCGTGATCCGGAGGCTGACACGAAGGCTGCTGGTGGCAGCCGAGTTGGGGAACGAGCTTTGCGCCTTGGCGGCCTTTGCGTGCTGAAGGGCAGACATGCAAGAAAAAGGTGATGATGGAGCTGTGGCGAGGTTGCGCAAGTTCGCCAAGGTGCCCTGACGTCGGAGGCGAAGAGGGCATAGTCTACTGCAAACTTGCGGAGGGAGATCATGGCCATCACAAGGAGTGAGCGGTGAACGCGTGTGCGGGGGCGAATGGGACGTGGAATAGCCTCTGAGCAGTGGCTTGTTTGGTCCAGGAGTTGGAGGACACGGAGCCACGGGCAAGCTTGTGGAGGTTCCCCAAAATTGCAGACAACGTGGTCGAAATAACGATGACGGTTCAAACGCTGCGGGAGGCACCCAAACTTCGAACACCAAAGTCGGCAACCTTGGAGAAATTGGGCACCAAAACTGAGCCTGGGCGCACTCTTTGAAAAATAAGTTTTGAGAAGCTTGGCAATTCAGATCTGCCGGTCCGATATGGACCACAAACATTCAGAAATCAGCTCTTGAGCCTGCTTACCCCCCCATCCTAGAGCACAGTTAATCCATACAGACTATCACAGATTCAGAGTCATAGAGTCTGGCAAACTTAAAGGTAAAGTACTCACTTCTCTGATGAGTTCTGCAAAGTACGTCAGTGTGCTAAGAACATTTTGTGAAGCAAGACACCGCCCTCGTGCACTCCAAAAATGCATGCCGCCCCCTCAGATTCATGAACAAGCTCAGGTTTGCACGCGGGCCAACGGCAAGGTCCCATGACGCTCCTTTCATCACACCTTTCGCAAGCTTAGAGGCTCTTGGAAAATCTACGAAACTCTCAAGCGCCACTGGCCGCGACCCAACCCGGAGCCGGAAGAGGGAACACGATAAAGCTTTCAAAGAGCTCGGCTGGATCTAAGAAATCCAATCGAGACTCTAGATTGAAACCAGCGCGTACTCCCAATGTAACTTTCAAACTATACTCCACGCGCTCGTTAAACATGCGGTTGTCCTAACATACCAATCATCCAATCGGCCACAGGTGAGGAATATATAGCTGCATTTCCGATGTCGCTTCCAAACTTCAAACACCCACAAAAGCACCAGTCGGTAAGTTTGGGTACATCTCGGGCAGCCAACAAGAATCGTGACCCAAACTGAAGATATTTTGCAAGCCGATTGTTCCTCACACTTCTAGATGCGGCCTCCACAAGTTCGACCCGCCCGTCGCCACGCCTCGGCGCCCGGGACACCGATGCCGTTGCGGTCAAGGTTGATCGTCGTGAGGCTTCTGTTGATCTTCAGTGCCTCAGCGATGGCCTGGCAGAGCGTCAACGCCGACCCTGTAGGACCTATACGGCTGGAAACAAAAACACCCAAAAGTCCCAAAAGGTTGGATTTTGAAGATTTCAGCTTGTAGCAACTACAACAAGTTGGTGAGAAACAATTCGCAATGACAACAGTATGTCAAAACGATTGAGAAAAGGGTCTCTGGCATGGATTGCCAAACACCGACAAAAGCACCGCAAGTTTGGGTACATCTCGGGCAGTCAACAAGAATCGTGACCCAAACTGAAGATAAGCCGATTGTTCCTCACACTTCTAGATGCGGCCTCCACAAGTTCGACCCGCCTCGGCGCCTGGGTCACCGATGGCGTTGCCGAAAAGGCGGATCGTCACGATGCTTTTGTTGAGCTTCAGTGCCTCAGCGATAGCCTGGCAGAGCGTCGACGCTGACCCTGTAGGACCCACGGCTGGAAAGAAAAACACCCAAAAGGTTGAAGAATCCACTGGGAATTTGGAGATTTCACTTCGTAGCAACTAACAAGTTGGTGAGAAAAGACTCGCAATGATGTCAAAGAGATCGAGAAAAATGATCGAAGAAAGAACCACATACTGGCATGGGTTGCCTCGACAGTCCGACCGCAACCTCAGCGAACTGAGAAAATATGGGTGACAGCCTAAAATATTGGCTGCCTGCCTTCCATAGCTTCAAAAGCTCACGAGCCCGACGCCGTCGGCAGGAACCGGCCGATGAGGTGTGCCAATTCGTGGGGGAAAAGGCCCGCCAGTGGCCGGGAAATGGGCCCTCAACCTGCAGCGCAAGATCGGGGAGCTCAGGGGTTCGGGAACTTGATGCCTGGGCTCGAATCCAAGAGCCGATCCTCGAGCTCAAGCCGGTGGGGAACAGCGAGCGCAGATACACTCGAACTCGTTGGGCGACGCCTGCGAGTCTAGAGACGAAGTCTTGCCCTCGGGCCTCGGGCGGCCCTGACGCTTCACTTTGACTATCCTGGCAAAGGTGAAGGTGATGAAGGGAGGCCCGAGGAAGGGGAACCCGACCGCCACGACCTCAAGGAGAAAAGGCGGGGCCAGCATTTGCCACCCAAATGGCTGCAAGAAGGTGCGACCTGCTCCTATCGCCATTGGGATGAGGCGAAGCCCCAGGCGGAGGTGAAGAACACGAGCACTGCTAAATGGCGGAGCCACGCATGAAGTTGAAGAGATGGAGTGACTGGAGTGGGGGGTGGTCCGATGGCACAAGGGTCGATGTGGCTGAGGCAGGCTCCGAGGACCCGGATTGTCATCCCCGGACTTCCTCGCGCAAACGGGCTTCGCTCTCCGCAGCTGAGGAGAGACATAGTCCTGATAAACAGCGAAAAATTGAGTCTGATCGGCTGATTCTGAAGATGCGAAAATGAGGATGCCTTGTCCAGCGCAGAGATGTCAGTTCAAACATCACATCACTGCACCAGTCGGTGAGCTTTGGGTGTCTCAATCTGTCTTGAAGCGTGACTCAAACTACGGTCCGTCAGAGCGATAACAAACTGTTTGAAGCAAGAAACCGGAGCCTCGCGGGGCCTGAAAACAAAGTATTTGAGACCCTCGAACGTTCAGGGGCTCCAAACACGCACGCCGTCCCCGCTCAGATTCATGACGCTGTATAGGTTTATGACAGGCGGGCCATGGTGGGAACTAAAAACACATTCAGAGTCACGCGAACTCCTTTCGTCACATCGTTCGCTCTCTTCTTTCCAAAAGCTGCAAAGCTGAAGGGAGATTTCTACGAAACTGCCAAGCGGCGCTCGCCGGCGCCACCGAAGCCGGAACCCGGAACCCGGCACCCGGTTTGCCGGAAGCTCCCTCTCACTCATTCAGAAAAAGCAAGAGTCAAAATGAATCCTAACCCGCACTACAGACACTGTTGATCAATGGGCGAACCACGAGTTGGATCCGACCCCCAACACCGCGCCTGGGCACCCTGGTCTCCGATTGCGTTGCCACTGAGGGTGATCTCCTTGACACTTTTGTTGACCTTCAGCGCGTCAGCTATCGCCTGGCAAAGCGTTGACGCGGACGGAACCTGACACTCGCAAAAAAAAGAAGTTGTGTTTCGGCTGAATGCTGGAAAAAGCCAAGAGGGAGGCAGCCAAGCCTTGAATTCCAAAGCTGGTAGCCTTCGAGAAAGTGGGAACTAACACTGAGCCTCGGGTCAAATAATTGAAAAGTGCACCAACTAATTACACCGTAGCTTTACTACAGGCAGGCCGTGGCTGGCCGGGGGCTCGTTTTGTCACAGTTGCTGGCCGCTGCTACCCAACCCAGAGCGGGATCCTGTGAAAGCTACGAGCGCTGGTAGCACTACGGTTCGTCAGCCGTAGAAGCGAGCATTTTTAAGCTTTCAACGGGCTCAGCTGAAACTAGGAAATCAGATCGAGACTCTGGATTGACACCAGCTCTTACTCTCAATCCCATATTTTAGCAATAAGAGCCTGGTCGCAAGCGAATCCGACCGCACGGTGGACTTGAAGGAGCGCTGAAATCTTGGTAGTCGACTGGTCGGCAGGCGGGAGGCACCGGCCTAGCGCGCTGGAGAGGTTTGCGGGGGTGGGAACGAAGTCTTGCCCTCAGGCGACAAGGGCGGGACTTGAGGATTCATGTGGCCCGACGGTTGAGGCGGTGACTTCGCGGATGCCGACAAACCCCCAGGCGGAGGGCAAGTTAAAAGAGGCGCCCAGCTGGCAACCATGGAGGGATACAGACGCATATTGCCCGGACGCGAGGCAATTGGAGCGAAAGGCTGCGACACTCAGGGCTGTCTGTACATCGCTGCCATGCCCAAATGTCACGAGGTTGAGGCGTGCGTGCACCCCGCTTGAGGAGGGACGGCGAGGAGGCTTCAAAAAAAGGCGGCGGTGTGGGGTTGCTCTGGATTCACTTGGGGAGATTTCATAGCAACTCATGATGGCAGCATTCCAAAGCAAAGCGATGCGCAAAACATTGGCAGACCACGGCCGCTGCGTCGGGAACGAGTGAGTTCGGCAAGACGGCTGATGAGGCGGTGGAGAAGGGCATCTCGGACTGAGAGGCCCACTGCTCTTCGCGCAAGGAGGGAAAACCCTTCTCGTATTGCCCGGACGAAAGGCTGCGACACTCAGGGCTGTCTGTACATCGCTGCCATGCCCAAATGTCACGAGGTTCAGGCGTGCGTGCACCCCGCTGAGGAGAAACGGCGAGGAGGCTTCCAAAAAAGGCGGCGGTGTGGGGTTGCTCTGGATTCACTTGGGGAGATTTCATAGCAACTCATGATGGCAGCATTCCAAGCAAAGCGATGCGCAAAAACATTGGCAGTCCACGGCGGCCGCTGCGTTCGGGAACGAGTGAGTTCGGCAAAAAGACGGCTCCTGATGAGGAGTGTGGAGAAGGGCATCTCGGATTGAGAGGCCACATCTGCTCTTCGCGCAAGGAGGGAAAACCCTTCTCGTATTGCCCGGACGAAAGGCTGCGACACTCAGGGCTGTCTGTACATCGCTGCCATGCCCAAATGTCACGAGGTTGAGGCGTGCGTGCACCCCGCTGAGGAGGGACGGCGAGGAGGCTTCAAAAAAAGGCGGCGGTGTGGGGTTGCTCTGGATTCACTTGGAGAGATTTCATAGCAACTCATGATGGCAGCATTCCAAAGCAAAGCGATGCGCAAAACATTGGCAGACCACGGCCGCTGCGTCGGGAACGAGTGAGTTCGGCAAGACGGCTGATGAGGCAGTGGAGAAGGGCATCTCGGACTGAGAGGCCACTGCTCTTCGCGCAAGGAGGGAAAACCCTTCTCGTATTGCCCGGACGCGAGGCAATTGGAGCGAAAGGCTGCGACACTCAGGGCTGTCTGTACATCGCTGCCATGCCCAAATGTCACGAGGTTGAGGCGTGCGTGCACCCCGCTGAGGAGGGACGGCGAGGAGGCTTCAAGAAAAGGCGGCGGTGTGGGGTTGCTCTGGATTCACTTAGGGAGATTTCATAGCAACTCATGATGGCAGCATTCCAAAGCAAAGCGATGCGCAAAACATTGGCAGACCACGGCCGCTGCGTCGGGAACGAGTAAGTTCGGCAAGACGGCTGATGAGGCGGTGGAGAAGGGCATCTCGGACTGAGAGGCCCACTGCTCTTCGCGCAAGGAGGGAAAACCCTTCTCGGGGCATTCGGCGACGAGCGCGGCATTCTTTGGGCAGGGATGGCTGCCAAACCCTCGGAGTGAAAGGCTTGGCACTCTGGAAGATGGGCCAGGTCCTCGTGAGGCCTGTGCTCGAGCTCGAGCCGCAGGTGAGCAGCGAGCGTATATGACAATGTTACTTCCAGCAGCTACGAGTGATCCGGGCAAAGGCCGAGGGGGCCGGTGCAGCCCAAAAAACCGAGGAAGCGGAACCCTCCGCGTGGACCCTCACCGGAAAGACACATGAGACCTGGCGGGTGCGCTGCTCCGATCGCCGTTGCTGGGATGCGAAGCCCCAGTTAAGAAAAGGAGAGTGCGGAGCTCCTTGGAGGAGAAGAGCGCTGCTAAGTGGCAGGGCCACGCATTGTCTGAGGCCAGGAGAGAGTGGGATTGGTGGGATCGGTCCCAAGGTGGAAGTGCGTTTGGCACAAGGGTCAATCGGTCCTTGTTCTGACGGACCCGTCCTGGGGTGTTGGACACCTTGTGTGGAATGAAGGCCTGGCCGATCGAGTTGAGCGTTCCTACGGCAAGGGATGTGCGAGGGCCACCGACATCTTTTGCCTTGATAGAGCGGGCGGCCCCGCTCGCAGGGTGCTTTCAGATGGAGAGACCAGTGATCCGGAAAGCTCTGTGGCGAAGGAGATGAGATCCAAGCTCAAGTACTACGGCCTTCCGGCAAGGAGACCCCACAGCTGCTGGCCTGAAAGCTCCGAGCCATCATAGGCAGACTAGGCGGAAACGCAACTCGAGGTCTAGAGGGTTGAGGCTCTACATGGCAGAAGAGGATCTGGAAAATGTTGCCCTTTTGGATGGAGGCGCCGCAGGATCCAGAAAGCTCTGTAGAGAGGGCAGAGGAACTACGTGAGGTGGAGAAGGATGAAGCGGAGGGTGGCGACGATGCCGTCGAGATCAAGGACGATGGAGAGAAGAGGCTGAAGAAGGCTCAAGAGAAGCAGGAGGTGGTCAGAAGGAGGTGGCTGGAGCTTTGTTGCGGGTGGTCACCAAGCTCAAGTACTACGGCCTTCCGGCAAGGAGACCCCGCAGCTCCGGAGTTGGTGAGTTCACCTCCAAGGAAGCTCGGCAGTCGGCAGCGGACTGGATGACGATGCGAGCACTCACGGATGGGAGCTGCTCGACAAAACCTGGAGCGTGCGGCAGCGAAGGTCGCGTGATCAGGACCTCAGGAGCATAACACGATCGGTTCTGGCGGCAGCCGAGTTGGGGAATGGGCTTTGCGCCTTGGCGGCCTTGGCTGGCTGGGCAGACATGCAAGGGTCTGGAGAACGAAGCGGGAAAACGGCGACGGAGAGGCGCCCCTGACGTCCGAGGTGAGGGCACAGCTTACGGCAAGCTCGTGGAAGGAGATCGCGCGATGGGGCTGCGTCACAAGGAGTGAGCGGAGAACGCGCGTGCGCGTGCGGGGGCGAAGGGCACGTGGAATGCCCCGCGAGGAGTGGCTTGTTTGGTCCAGGACTTGGAGGACACGGAGCCGAAGGGAGACCTACGAGCACGAGCGGGTCGGCTACAGCCTCCTTAGCGGATCTTTTGGGAGGTTCCCGAAATAGTTGGCCCGCCTGCAGCGCTGACATTAAGAGTTCAATCGCTGTGGGAGGCATCCAAACTTCGAATACCAAAGTCGGCAACCTTGGAGAAATTGGGCACCAGAGCTGAACCTGGGGGGGTTTGAGAAGCTTGGCCATTGAGATCTGCCATTGAGACATGTGAGATGTTGCTCTTGAGCATGCTTACCTCGCATCCTAGAGAACAGTCAATATAAAGGTAAAATAAATCACTGCTTTGCTGAGTTCTGCAAAGTACGTCAGTGTGCTAAGAAGCTTTTATGAAGCTCGTGCGCTCCAAAATTGCATGCCCATGCTCTCCTTTCATCACATCTTTCGCAAGCTAAGAGGCTATAGGAATATCTACGAAACTCTCAAGCGCCACGAAGCCGGAAGCCGGAACACGACAAAGCTGTCAAAGAGCTCGGCTGAAGCGAAGAAACCCAATCGAGACTCTAGATTAAAACCGCTTTAAAACCAGCGCGTATTCCCAATGTAACAGTTAAACTATTTTCCACGCGCTGGTCAAGCATGCGGTTGTCCTAACATACCAATCATCCAATCGGCCACAGGTGAGGATTATAAAGCTACATGCTTCCAAAACACCCACAAAAGCACCAGTCGGTAAGTTTGGGTACATCTCGGGCAGCCAACAAGAATCGTGACCCAAACTGAAGATATTTTGCAAGCCGATTGTTCCTCACACTTCTAGATGCGGCCTCCACAAGTTCGACCCGCCCGTCGCCACGCCTCGGCGCCCGGGACACCGATGCCGTTGCGGTCAAGGTTGATCGTCGTGAGGCTTCTGTTGATCTTCAGTGCCTCAGCGATGGCCTGGCAGAGCGTCGACGCCGACCCTGTAGGACCTATACGGCTGGAAACAAAAACACCCAAAAGTCCCAAAAGGTTGGATTTTGAAGATTTCAGCTTGTAGCAACTACAACAAGTTGGTGAGAAACAATTCGCAATGACAACAGTATGTCAAAACGATTGAGAAAAGGGTCTCTGGCATGGATTGCCTCGACTTTCCAATGGCAACCTCAGAGGATTAACTGCCATTCTGACCCTGGAAAACACGGGCGACAGCCCAAAACAATTGGATAGCTTCAATAGCTTGTCAGCCGGCAAGAGGTGGACATGGCCAGGAAGCGCAGACCGGAAGCTTTGCGGGAGATGCTGCGGCAGAGGATCTGTGAAAATGTTGCCTTCCGAATGGAGGGACCGCAGCCGTGGCCCGCTCTGGAAGTCCCTTTTCATCGCGCGTCGTATCACCGAGGACGCCTTCTGGGGGACCCCAAGAAGGAGGCGAGGGTGAGCTCGGCCGGGGCTTACGATGCCATCAAGATCAAGGACGATGGACAGAAGAAGTTTAGGGTCGAAGGAAGCTCCTGTGATGTTGAGAAAGCCAGAAAGTCCGAGATCTCTTTGCAGACCAAGACCTGCGTGAGTGAGCTGGCACCAGCCATGGTCGACAGGTCAGCCCCTACACTCGGGCACCAAGCAGGGCTGTTTGCCCAAAAGGCTGCGAAAAGTGGCATGTGGCATGTGGGAACTTCCAGCATGTGAGACACAGCCGGCGTGGATGGCGTGGATTTGAAGACGGCCTTCTTGCAGGTGTGCGTGCAGGCGGCGGGGATTGAAGAGGCATGCAGACTTGTTCTGTTGCTCTTGGCAATTTTGTTGCTCCTGAGCGCTTCTCCGATCGCCTGGCAGAGCTCCGCGGCCGATGCTGCAAATCCCACGGCTGGAAAGAAAAAGCACACCCGAGGTTCAGATTTCACTCGAAATTGGAGACTTCAGCTTGTATCAACTCACCTTTCCTTCGGTGAGAAACCAAACACAATGATGACAATAGCATTAGAAGCCCATGAAGAAACCAGGGAGGCACCCCAACCCTTAATAACAAAGTGGATAACCTTGGACAAATTGGGAAAAGTCCTTGGAAATTGAGCCCAAGAAACTTGAGAAGCTTGCCAATTCCGATCTTCCGGGCCGATGAAGACCACAACCATTGATAGACTACCTGCAAGGGCGTCCTGGTGCGCTTCCAATGCGTCAAGGCGGCGAGGAGGCTTTGGAGCTGGAGACAGCGAGAGATGATGTGGTGAAGCTCAAGAATGGCATGCCTCGGCATGTGGAGAAGGGGCTGCAGGCTATGAGCTCTTTAGGAATCAGGCCAATGCGCCTAAAGGCTTGAGCGAATGGAAGACGGATAGTCAGTAGCCTCCTACGCACAACATTGCTTGAAGTTCGGCACATTGGTAGTGGAGCAGAAGATCAAGGCCTTGTTGCGGGACTCCGGCTACTAGCTGTGGTGGAGCTCAGGACGCGTGTGGACGACCCGCTCCGGTGGAGCGGGCCCAATGGCGGAAACCGAAAGGACAAGCGCACGGAACGCCCGTGCCGATCTTTGTTGGGCGCCCTCCTGTGAGGAAGCTGCAGGTGCGGTTGAGGTGCACGAGATTTCCTCCAGAGCAACGAGCCCTGGCCCTCTCTAGCATGGAGCTTTGAGGAGAATTGAACTTGGACGGGCTGGCAACGGTCGAGGGCATTCCCGGAGTCCACTTCCTTGACCCGGAGCTCACAAAAGGCGGGACGCGTGACGGAGACCGGCGGGCATGCAGCCGGACAGCGGGCTATGACGGGTTTCAGATTTTTTTGAAGTGTGCGGAGTTAGTCGCTGCACCAGGCGACCTTCAGGTTTGGAGCCTCAAGGCCACACCGGTCTAGGCTGCTGTGGGCCATCCTCGGCCTGCATGGTCAGAGCTTCTTGGTGGAGGTCTCCATCGTGCACGTCCAAGGACACAAGGCTGACTTTCAGTCGCTTGGTATTTGAAAAGACTTCCCAAAACTATTCTGTCCACAAAATAATAAAATCAGCGCCAAAAATTTGATCATAATACAACAAGCAAGCGCTGAGCGCCTGCAAAAGCTTACCGAGTCTTAACCTCAATCTATCAAACAATCCAACAGTCTTCATCTGCCAAAAGCTCTAAACAAGCTGCAACCCGCACAAGAACTGCGGGATACCAGGTGATGGTGAAGTGCGAGAATAGCGACAAGTCGAGAGACAAGGCGCTGGAGAAGGGCATTTTGTGGGAAAAGAATCCCGACGACGAGACGAGTGGCAGCATCTGAAGCTCGAGGCTTGAATCGTGGACTGGGATTCTCCGAAGGGCCCTCTTTGGGCCGACCCGTAAGGGACGCCCTGATCCGAAGGGGCGACAGAGCCAGAGAGCTGAGAGAAGGTTGAGGGGCCTGGTCGTCAAAACCAGATCTTGAGGCATTGGCTAGGGGCTGCTTGGCACCAGGACCGGAAGCTCTGGAGGCAGAGCGAGATGATGGAGCCTCAACCTGGAGCTCAAGGGCATTGCTGGGAGGTGCTGGAAGCAGCGCTGAAGAGCTTCATAGAAGAAGGCTGCTGGGTTGCTGAAGAGCCTGAGAGGTGGTTGGAAGAGGCTGTCGGGCAGGTGGAAAGGGCAGCTGCCGCACACCCAAGGGTTGGAGCTGGAGGAATCCCTACGCCAGCGGATGAGGTGATGATCACTGAGGCTCGCGACGCGGATTGGTGGTGGACGTTTCCTATTGGCTCGAAAACTGGAGCTAAAGGAGATGTTTTTGCAGGCGGAGGGCAAGTTGGAAGAGGCGCCCAGCTGGCAACCGTGGAGGGATACAGACGCGAGGCCTTTGGAGCGAGAGACGTCGTTGGCAAGGGAGGGCGGTGCGAGGTTTTATTTGAAGGAGGACATGAGGCAGCGACACCCGGGCTGTCTTTACATCGCTGCCATGCCCAACTGTCACGAGGCTGAGGCGTGCGTGCACCCCGCTGAGGAGGCTGAGGGACGGCGAGGAGGCTTCAAGAAAAAGGCGGCGGAGTGGGGTTGCTCTGGATTTACTTGGGAGTTTCATAGCAACTCATGACAACAGTATTCCAAAGCGATGCACAAACATATTCAAAGACCACGAACGCTGCGAGCGCGGCAAGAACAGCTGATGAGGCGGCGGTGGAGAGGGCATTCTTCGGGCAAGGATGGCATGAGGGTGGAGTCTGTCCTGTTTTCGGTGGCGGCGTTGGAATTGTCCGGTTGGGCTGAATGGCGTGGCCACTGGCGGAGGCATCTGCAGCAATGCCTGCACTCGAGCTCGAGCCGCAGATCGGGAGCAGCGAGCGTATATGACAATGATGTTTCTTCCAGCAGCTACGAGTGATCCGGGCAAAGGCCGAGGGGGCCGGTGCAGCCCACGCCAAAAAAATCGAGGAAGCGAAACCCTCCGGCCCTCACCGGAAAGACACATGAGAACTAGCGTGCGCGAACTGCTCCTATCTCCACTGCTGGGATGCGAAGCCGCAGTTAAGAGAAGAGTGCGGTGGGGCATCTTCGATAACTGCTCCTTGGAGGAGAACAGGAGAGCGCTGCCAAATGGCAGGTCTGAAGCCAGGAGATGAGGAGTGGGATGGAGTGGGGGGGAGCATTTGGCACAAGGGTCAACGATACAGCTCCGGAGTGAAAGGCTGCTTGGCACTCTGGAAGATGGGCCAGGTCCTCGTGAGGCCTGTGCTCGAGCTCGAGCCGCAGGTGAGGAGCAGCGAGCGTATATGACAATGATGTTTCTTCCAGCAGCTACGAGTGATCCGGGCAAAGGCCGAGGGGGCCGGTGCAGCCCACGCCAAAAAAACCGAGGAAGCGAAACCCGCCGGCCCTCACCGGAAAGACACATGAGAACTAGCGTGCGCGAACTGCTCCTATCTCCACTGCTGGGATGCGAAGCCGCAGTTAAGAGAAGAGTGCGGTGGGGCATCTTCGATAACTGCTCCTTGGAGGAGAACAGGAGAGCGCTGCCAAATGGCAGGTCTGAAGCCAGGAGATAAGGAGTGGGATGGAGCGGTGTGGGGTTGCTCTGGATTCACTTAGGGAGATTTCATAGCAACTCATGATGGCAGCATTCCAAAGCAAAGCGATGCGCAAAACATTGGCAGACCACGGCCGCTGCGTCGGGAACGAGTAAGTTCGGCAAGACGGCTGATGAGGCGGTGGAGAAGGGCATCTCGGACTGAGAGGCCCACTGCTCTTCGCGCAAGGAGGGAAAACCCTTCTCGGGGCATTCGGCGACGAGCGCGGCATTCTTTGGGCAGGGATGGCTGCCAAACCCTCGGAGTGAAAGGCTTGGCACTCTGGAAGATGGGCCAGGTCCTCGTGAGGCCTGTGCTCGAGCTCGAGCCGCAGGTGAGCAGCGAGCGTATATGACAATGTTACTTCCAGCAGCTACGAGTGATCCGGGCAAAGGCCGAGGGGGCCGGTGCAGCCCACGCCAAAAAAACCGAGGAAGCGGAACCCTCCGCGTGGACCCTGCGAGAAGAAGATCTGCTCCTTGGAGGGCCACGCGTTGTCTGACCGTTGACCGGATCCCCGTCATTTCTGGGGACAAACGGGCTTCGCTGTGCGTTTGAGATCGGTCCGCCGTCCTGGGGTGTTGGACACCTTGTGTGGAATAAAGGCCTGGCCGATCGAGTTGAGCGTTCCTACGGCAAGGGATGTGCGAGGGCCACCGACATCTTTTGCCTTGATAGATCTGGCGGCCCCGCTCGCAGGGTGTGTGCGCCTGGACATCCACTCGAGACTTGACACCTTCGTGGAGCTGCTGGCCTGAAAGCTCCGAGCCATCATAGGCAGACTAGGCGGACTCACAACTCGAGGTCTAGAGGGTTGAGGCTCTACATGGCAGAAGAGGATCTGGAAAATGTTGCCCTTTTGGATGGAGGGACCGCAGGATCCAGAAAGTTCTGTAGAGAGGGCAGAGGAACTACGTGAGGTGGAGAAGGATGAAGCGGAGGGTGGCGACGATGCCGTCAAGATCAAGGACGATGGAGAGAAGAGGCTGAAGAAGGCTCAAGAGAAGCAGGAGGAGGTGGTCAGAAGGAGGTGGCTGGAGCTTTGTTGCGGGTGGTCACCAAGCTCAAGTACTACGGCCTTCCGGCAAGGAGACCCAACAGCTCCGGAGTTGGTGCGTTCACCTCCAAGGAAGCTCGGCAGTCGGCGGACTGGATGACGATGCGAACACTCACGGATGGGAGCTGCTCGAAAACGAACCCTGCGGAAGGGGAGGTGGCGTGATCCGGAGGCTGACACGAAGGCTACTGGTGGCAGCCGAGTTGGGGAACGAGCTTTGCGCCTTGGCGGCCTTTGCGTGCTGAAGGGCAGACATGCAAGAAAAAGGTGATGATGGAGCTGTGGCGAGGTTGCGCAAGTTCGCCAAGGTGCCCTGACGTCGGAGGCGAAGAGGGCATAGTCTACTGCAAACTCGCGGAGGGAGATCATGGCCATCACAAGGAGTGAGCGGTGAACGCGTGTGCGGGGGCGAATGGGACGTGGAATAGCTGAGCAGTGGCTTGTTTGGTCCAGGAGTTGGAGGACACGGAGCCACGGGCAAGCTTGTGGAGGTTCCCCAGAATTGCAGACAACGTGGTCGAAATAACGACGACGGTTCAAAACGCTGCGGGAGGCACCCAAACTTCGAACACCAAAGTCGGCAACCTTGGAGAAATTGGGCACCAAAACTGAGCCTGGGCGCACTCTTTGAAAAATAAGTTTTGAGAAGCTTGGCAATTCAGATCTGCCGGTCCGATATGGACCACAAACATTGAGAAATCAGCTCTTGAGCCTGCTTACCCCCCCCATCCTAGAGCACAGCTAATCCATACATACTATCACAGATTCAGAGTCATAGAGTCTGGCAAAATTAAAGGTAAAGTAAATCACTTCTCTGATGAGTTCTGCAAAGTACGTCAGTGTGCTAAGAACATTTTATGAAGCAAGAAACCGCCCTCGTGCACTCCAAAAATGCATGCCGCCCCCTCAGATTCATGAACAAGCTCAGGTTTGCACGCGGGCCAACGGCGGAGGTTGAACATCCTCTCAAGGTGGCATGTGGCATGTGGGAACTTCCAGCATGTGAGACACAGCCGGCGTGGATGGCGTGGATTTGAAGACGGCCTTCTTGCAGGTGTGCGTGCAGGCGGCGGGGATTGAAGAGGCATGCAGACTTGTTCTGTTGCTCTTGGCAACGCTTTTGTTGCTCCTGAGCGCTTCTCCGATCGCCTGGCAGAGCTCCGCGGCCGATGCTGCAAATCCCACGGCTGGAAAGAAAAAGCACACCCAAGGTTCAGATTTCACTCGGGATTGGAGACTTCAGCTTGTATCAACTCACCTTTCCTTCGGTGAGAAACCAAACACAATGACGACAATAGCATTAGAACGCCATGAAGAAACATGTTCGAAGAATAGAAACACATGCTGGAATTGTGTGTCCCCACTTTTCGACGGCAACCAAGAGAATGTCTAAAATCTGAGAGAAACGGTATTTCGGTTGAAGGCTGGAAATGCCAAGTGGGAGGCACCCAAACCCTTAATAACAAAGTGGATAACCTTGGACAAATTGGGAACTGACACTGAGCCTCAGGTCAAGTCCTTGCAAATTGAGCCCAAGAAACTTGAGAAGCTTGCCAATTGAGATCTTTCGAGCCGATGAAGACCACAACCATTGATAGACTACCTGCAAGGGCGTCCTGGTGCGCTTCCAATTGGTCAAGGCAGCGAGGGAGGCTTTGGAGCTGGAGACAGCAAGAGATGATGTGGTGAAGGATGGAGGCATGCCCTGGCGTGTGGAGAAGAGGCTGCAGGCTATGAGCTCTTTAGGAATCAGGCTAATGGGCCTAAAGGCTTGAGCGAATGGAAGACGGATAGTCAGTAGCCTCCTACGCACAACCGGGTTTGCCGGAACCCAGAACCTGGAAGATAGAAACGCGGTCTCCATTCAAAAAAAAAAGGGCGCTCGATCAAGCCTCTCGACTAAAACCGTTCAATGATGTCGTACTCCCAATCAAATAGATAGAAACATGTCAGAGACACTGACCAAAACACACGGTGATCTTAACATACCGATCGACCGTTGGTTGAAAAATAACGCTCATTTCCCGAAGATGTCACTTTCACTGCGAGCTCTGTAACAACCACTTTCGTCGGAAGCTTCTGCAGTTGCGAGACATTGATCGACGAGCTGCGGCATCTTCAACAAGATCTTTCTGGTTAATGAGGATCATAACCATTGAGAAACCACCTGCGCCGCGTCAATAGGGCCTGATGCAGCTTAAGGCAGCGAGGGAGGCTTTGGAGCTGGAGACTGCAAGAGATGATGTGATGAAGCTCAAGGATGGAGGCGTGCCTCCGTGTGTGAGGCCAATGGGCCTAAGAGCTAACCATGCATGGAAGGCTGGCGGGACAAACGCCCAGACGAGGCACTTCTCCATCCGGGGTCTGGCAGGGCCCAATGGCGGAAACCGAAAGGACAAGCGCACCGAACGCCCGTGCCGATCTTTCACGAAAAGGACGGGAAGTTGGGCTTGGGCGCCCTCGTATGAGGAAGCTGCAGGTGTGGTTGAGGTACACGAGATTACCTCCAGAGCAACGAGCCCTGGCCTTTTTTAGCATGGAGCTTTGAGGAGGATTGAACTTGGACGGGCTGGCAACGGTCGAGGGCATTCCCGGAGTCCACTTCCTTGACCTGGAGCTCACAAAAGGCGCGACGCGTGACGGAGACCGGCGGGCATGCAGCCGGACAGCGGGCTATGACGGGTTTCAGAATTTTTTGAAGTGTGCGGAGCCACACGCTGAACCAGGCGACCTTCAGATTTGGAGCCTCAAGGCCACACCGGTCTAGGCTGCGGTGTGGGCCATCGGCCTGCATGGTCGGAGCTTCTTGGTGGAGGTCTCCATCGTGCACTGGAGCAACAGTTTTGGATGTCCAAGGACACAAGGCTGACTTTCAGTCGCTTGATATTTAAAAAGACTTCCCAAAACTATTCTGTCCAAGGAAAGATTAAAAACAATAAGCGCCAAAAAATGCAATCACAATACAACAAGCAAGCAAAAGTCGCTAAGCGCCTGCAAAAGTTTACCGAGTCTTAACCTCAATCTATCAAACAATCCAACAGTCTATATCTGCCAAAAGCTCTAAACAAACTGCAACCCGAACAAGAACTGCGGGATACCAGGTCATGATGGTGAAGCGCGAGAATAGTGACAAGTCGAGAGACAAGGCGCTCGAGAAGGGCATTTCCTGGGAAAAGAATCCCGACGACGAGACGGAGCTCTACAACGGCGCGGGAGTGAGGCAGTGGCAGGAGCATCTGAAGTTCGAGGCTGGGAAGCCCCTGTCGGTTGCCGAGTCCAATTGGGTGAGCGAGAACGTGGAGGGGAACCGGATCTTCAACCGCCGCTCCAAGAGTTTGAGCAAACAGGTGAAAACAGATAGGCGGTAGCGATCGTTTGTGGCTGAGGTTACCCACCACAGGGGTGCCCTGCGATAAATATGTCTCCGAAGCATTCAGATAAGTCCAAGGACAACATCATTGCAAATATTCACATACTATGACATACTGCAAGCTTGGGTGATGGTCAAACATACTTTATAGACAGCGCTATAAATACTTTACAATCTGACAATTGACCCAAGCCTGTTTGTAAATCTCGTTTGCCTACTCGCTCAAAACGGTTTTGTGGTCTCTGAGACCAAGTAAAAAGATGCATAAACATTATACGTTCTGCTGCAACCGGAGATGTTACGCAACTCCGAGAAGAAGGGGAGCGTGCTGAACCCGGGAGCGGCTTTCCTGCAGCTGGTAGTGAAAATGGTTGCCAAGCTGAGGGCGGGCACTGGATCTACCGCAAGAGGTGGTGATCAAGAAGAGGAGAGTGGTGGCCGATGACCTCCAATTACGAGCACTATCCCCCGGAGCTGGAGTCTTGGGTACATCTCAAGCAGTCAAACATAATTTTGGCTGAACGAACCCATCTTTCCCCACATTTCCAGCAGTGCGCTCCACGAGTTCGATCCGCCCCGCCGTCTCCGCGCCTCGGCGCCCTGGTCTCCGATTCCGATCGCGTTGCCATAGAGGGAAATATCCTTGAGGCTTCCGTTGGCCTTCAGCATCTCAGCGATCGCCTGGCAGAGCGTCGATGCCAACCCTGGACCCACGGCAAGAAGAAAAACACGCGCGCACGAAAAGGTTCTAGAATTCCCTTAGAATTGGAGATGTCAGTTCGCAAGTACCAACAAACAAGTTGGTGACACAATGATGACACTAGCACTCCAAAGCAATAGGGAAAAAAGACAAATGCAAACCCATGCTTGCATGGCGTGCCTCGACGTTTCAACGCCAACCATCCTCTGCAATTGGAGGGCACAGAATGGCTGTGCAGCAGAATTCTGCGAGAAACCCACCCATTCTGCCCCTGGAAAACATGGGCTTGGAAGCGGTTGGAAAAAAAGAATAGTCTGCTGCCTGCTCAGGTTATAAGCCTAACGCCATGACAACTGCTGCGTCGAGCTCGGCAAGCACGGCTGAACGGGCATCGTGGACTGGGACTCTCCGAAGGGCCTCTTTGGGCCGGCCAGACCCGTAAGGCACGGAGATTGTCGGGACGCCCTGATCCGAAGGGGCGACAGAGCCAGAAAGCTGAGAGAAGGTTGAGGGGCCTGGTCGTCAAAACCAGATCTTGAGGCATGCCTTTGAGAGTGCGGATCGGCCGAGCCAAGGCTCCCTGGCTAGGGGCTGCTTGGCAACAGGACCGGAAGCTCTGGAGGCAGAGCGAGATGATGGAGCCTCAACCTGGAGCTCAAGGGCATTGCTGGGAGGTGCTGGAAGCAGCGCTGAAGAGCTTCATAGAAGAAGGCTGCTGGGTTGCTGAAGAGCCTGAGAGGTGGTTGGAAGAGGCTGTCGGGCAGGTGGAAAGGGCGGCTGCCCCACACCCAAGGGTTGGAGCTGGAGGAATCCCTACGCCAGCGGATGAGGTGATGACGACTGAGGCTCGCGAAGCGGATTGGTGGTGGACGTTTCCTATTGGCTCGAAAACTGAAGCGCAAGGAGATGTTTTTGCAGGCGGAGGGCAAGTTGGAAGAGGCGCCCAGCTGGCAACCGTGGAGGGATACAGACGCGAGGCCTTTGGAGCGAGAGACGTCGTTGGCAAGGGAGGGCGGTGCGAGGTTTTATTTGAAGGAGGACATGAGGCAGCGACACCCAGGGCCGTCTTTACACCCAACTGTCCCGAGGTTGGGGCGTGTGTGCTCCCCGCTGAGGAGGGATGCGAGGCTTCAAAACGGCGGCGATGTGGGGTTGCTCTGGATTCGCTTGGGAGTTTCATGGCAACTCATGACAACAGTATTCCAAAGCGATGCGCAAAAACATTCGCAGACCACGGCCGCTGCGTCGGGAACGAGCTCGGCAAAATGGCTGATGCGGCGGTGAAGAGGGCATTCTTCGGGCAAGGATGGCATGAGGGTGGAGTCTGTCCTGGTTTAGGTGACGGCGTTGGAATGGTCCTGGGCAGAATGGCATGGTCACTGGCGGAGGCATCTGCAGCAATCGGGAAGCCCAGGCATCTGCAGCACGCGAGCCAATGGCGGAGGTTGAACATCCTCTCAAGGTCCCATGACGCTCCTTTCATCACACCTTTCGCAAGCTAAGAGGCTCTTGGAAAATCTACGAAACTCTCAAGCGCCATTGGCCGCTGCGACCCTTCCCGGAGCCGGAAGAGGGAATACGATAAAGCTTTCAAAGAGCTCGGCTGGATCTAAGAAATCCAATCAAGACTCTAGATTGAAGCCAGCACGTATTCCCAATGTAACAGTTAAACTATTTTCCACGCGCTGGTCCATCATGCGGTTGTCCTTCCGATGTCGGTGCCAAACACCGACAAAAGCACCGCAAGTTTGGGTACATCTCGGGCAGTCAACAAGAATCGTGACCCAAACTGAAGATAAGCCGATTGTTCCTCACACTTCTAGATGCGGCCTCCACAAGTTCGACCCGCCTCGGCGCCTGGGTCACCGATGGCGTTGGCGAAAAGGCGGATCGTCACGATGCTTTTGTTGAGCTTCAGTGCCTCAGCGATAGCCTGGCAGAGCGTCGACGCTGACCCTGTAGGACCCACGGCCGGAAAGAAAAACACCCAAAAGGTTGAAGAATCCACTGGGAATTTGGGAGTTTTCACTTCGTAGCAACCAACAAGTTGGTGAGAAAAGACTCGCAATGATGTCAAAGAGATCGAAAAAAATGATTCGACATTCCGACCGCAACCTCAGCGAACTGCGAAAACATGGGTGACAGCCTAAAATATTGGCTGCCTGCCTTCCATAGCTTCAAAAGCTCACGAGCCCGACGCCGTCGGCGAGTTCGGCAGGAACCGGCCGTGGACGTTCGTTCCCTATTCGCTGCTGAAGCTGAAGCTGAAGGAGATGTTCCTGGAAGTGAAGCATATTGGAAGAGGAACTGGGCCCTCAACCTGCAGCGCAAGATCAGGGAGCTCAGGGGTTCGGGAACTTGACGCCTGGTCGAATCCAAAAGCCGATCCTCGAGCTCAAGCCGGTGAGGAGCATCGAGCGCAGATACACTCGAACTCGTTGGGCGACGCCTGCGAGTCTAGAGACGAAGTCTTGCCCTCAGGCCTCGGGCGGCCCTGGCAAAGGCCCTCGATCAGCGCGGCCCCACTCCAAGGCGATGAAGGGAGGCCCGAGGAAGGGGAACCCGACCGCCACGACCTCAAGGAGAAAAGGCGGGGCCAGCATTTGCCACCCAAATGGCTGCCTGCTCCTATCGCCATTGGGATGAGGCGAAGCCCCAGGCAACGGAGGTGAAGAACACGAGCGCTGCTAAATGGCGGAGCCATGCATGAAGTTGAAGAGATGGAGTGACTGGAGTGGGGGTGGTCCGATGGCACAAGGGTCGATGTGGCTGAGGCAGGTTCCGAGGACCCGGATTGTCATCCCCGGACTTCCTCGCGCAAACGGGCTTTGCTCTCCGCTGAGGAGAGACATAGTCCTGATAAAGGGCGAAAATTGAATCTGATCGGCTGATTGTGAAGATGCGAAAATGAGGATGCCTTGTCCAGCGCAGAGATGTCAGTTCAAACATCACATGACTGCACCAGTCGGTGAGCTTTGGGTGTCTCAATCTGTCTTGAAGCGTGACTCAAACTACGGTCCGTCAGAGCGATAACAAACTGTTTGAAGCAAGAAACCGGAGCCTCGCGGGGCCTGAAAACAAATTATTTGAGACCCTCGAACGTTCAGGGGCTCCAAACACGCACGCCGTCCCCACTCAGATGCATGACACCGTAGGTTTACTACATGCGGGCTTTGGTGGGGGCTAAAAACACATTCACAAGTCACGCAGCTGAGGAGAGACATAGTCCTGATAAAGGGCGAAAATTGAATCGATCGGCTGATTCCGCTGAAGATGTAGAATGAGGATGCCTTGTCCAGTGCAGAGAGGTCACTTCAAACATCACATCACTGCACCAGTCGGTGAGCTTTGGGTGCATCTCAATCTGTCTTGAAGCGTGCCCCAAACTACGGTCCATCAGAGCGTTAAGCAACTGTTTGAAGCAAGAAACCGGAGCCTCGCGGGGCCTGAAAACAAAGTATTTGAGACCCTCGAACGTTCAGGGGCTCCAAACACGCACGCTGCCGCTCAGATTCATGACGCTGTATAGGTTTATGACAGGCGGGCCATGGTGGGAACTACAAACACATTCAGAGTCACGCGAACTCCTTTCATCACATCTTTCGCTCTCTTCTTTCCAAAAGCTGCAAAGCTGAAGGGAGATTTCTACGAAACTGCCAATCGACGCTCGCCGGCGCCACCGAAGCCGGAACCCGGAACTCGGTTTGCCGGTTTGCCGGAAGCTCCCTCTCACTCATTCAGAAAAAGCAAGAGTCAAAATGAATCCTAACCCGCACTACAGACACTGTTGATCAATGGGCGAACCACGAGTTGGATCCGACCCCCAACACCGCGCCTGGGCACCCTGGTCTCCGATTGCGTTGCCACCGAGGGTGATCTTCTTGACACTTTTGTTGACCTTCAGCGCGTCAGCTATCGCCTGACAAAGCGTTGACGCGGACGGAACCTGACACTCGCAAAAAAAAGAAGTTGTGTTTCGGTTGAATGCTGGAAAAAGCCAAGCGGGAGGCAGCCAAGCCTTGAATTCCAAAGCTGGTAGCCTTCGAGAAAGTGGGAACTAAAACTGAGCCTCGGGTCAAATAATTGAATAGTGCACCAACTAATTACACCGTAGCTTTACTACAGGCAGGCCGTGGCTGGCCGGGGGCTCGTTGTCAGCCGTAGAAGCGAGCATTTTTAAGCTTTCAACGGGCTCAGCTAAAAAAAGGAAATCAGATCGAGACTCTGGATTGACACCAGCTCTTACTCTCAATCCCATATTTTAGCAATAAGAGCCTGGTCGCAAGCGAATCCGACCGCACGGTGGACTTGAAGGAGTGCTGAAATCTTGGTGGTCGACTGGTCGGCAGGCGGGAGGCACCGGCCTAGCGCGCTGGAGAGGTTTGCGGGGGTGGGAACAAAGTCTTGCCCTCAGGCGACAAGGGCGGGACTTGAGGATTCATGTGGCCCGACGGTTGAGGCGGTGACTTCGCGGATGCCGACAAACCCCCAGGCGGAGGGCAAGTTAAAAGAGGCGCCCAGCTGGCAACCATGGAGGGATACAGACGCATATTGCCCGGACGCGAGGCAATTGGAGCGAAAGGCTGCGACACTCAGGGCTGTCTGTACATCGCTGCCATGCCCAAATGTCACGAGGTTCAGGCGTGCGTGCACCCCGCTGAGGAGAAACGGCGAGGAGGCTTCCAAAAAAGGCGGCGGTGTGGGGTTGCTCTGGATTCACTTGGGGAGATTTCATAGCAACTCATGATGGCAGCATTCCAAAGCAAAGCGATGCGCAAAACATTGGCAGACCACGGCCGCTGCGTCGGGAACGAGTGAGTTCGGCAAGACGGCTCATGAGGCGGTGGAGAAGGGCATCTCGGACTGAGAGGCCCACTGCTCTTCGCGCAAGGAGGGAAAACCATTCTCGTATTGCCCGGACGAAAGGCTGCGACACTGAGGGCTGTCTGTACATCGCTGCCATGCCCAAATGTCACGAGGTTGAGGCGTGCGTGCACCCCGCTGAGGAGGGACGGCGAGGAGGCTTCAAAAAAAGGCGGCGGTGTGGGGTTGCTCTGGATTCACTTGGGGAGATTTCATAGCAACTCATGATGGCAGCATTCCAAAGCAAAGCGATGCGCAAAACATTGGCAGACCACGGCCGCTGCGTCGGGAACGAGTGAGTTCGGCAAGACGGCTGATGAGGCGGTGGAGAAGGGCATCTCGGACTGAGAGGCCCACTGCTCTTCGCGCAAGGAGGGAAAACCCTTCTCGTATTGCCCGGACGCGAGGCAATTGGAGCGAAAGGCTGCGACACTCAGGGCTGTCTGTACATCGCTGCCATGCCCAAATGTCACGAGGTTGAGGCGTGCGTGCACCCCGCTGAGGAGGGACGGCGAGGAGGCTTCAAAAAAAGGCGGCGGTGTGGGGTTGCTCTGGATTCACTTGGGGAGATTTCATAGCAACTCATGATGGCAGCATTCCAAAGCAAAGCGATGCGCAAAACATTGGCAGACCACGGCTGCTGCGTCGGGAACGAGTGAGTTCGGCAAGACGGCTGATGAGGCGGTGGAGAAGGGCATCTCGGACTGAGAGGCCCACTGCTCTTCGCGCAAGGAGGGAAAACCCTTCTCGTATTGCCCGGACGAAAGGCTGCGACACTCAGGGCTGTCTGTACATCGCTGCCATGCCCAAATGTCACGAGGTTCAGGCGTGCGTGCACCCCGCTGAGGAGAAACGGCGAGGAGGCTTCCAAAAAAGGCGGCGGTGTGGGGTTGCTCTGGATTCACTTGGGGAGATTTCATAGCAACTCATGATGGCAGCATTCCAAAGCAAAGCGATGCGCAAAACATTGGCAGACCACGGCCGCTGCGTCGGGAACGAGTGAGTTCGGCAAGACGGCTCATGAGGCGGTGGAGAAGGGCATCTCGGACTGAGAGGCCCACTGCTCTTCGCGCAAGGAGGGAAAACCCTTCTCGGGGCATTCGGCGACGAGCGCGGCATTCTTTGGGGCGGGGATGGCTGCCAAACCCTCGGAGTGAAAGGCTGCTTGGCACTCTGGAAGATTGGTCCTCGTGAGGCCTGTGCTCGAGCTCGAGCCGCAGGTGAGCAGCGAGCGTATATGACAATGTTACTTCCAGCAGCTACGAGTGATCCGGGCAAAGGCCGAGGGGGCCGGTGCAGCCCAAAAAAACCGAGGAAGCGGAACCCTCCGCGTGGACCCTCACCGGAAAGACACATGAGACCTGGCGGGTGCGCTGCTCCGATCGCCGTTGCTGGGATGCGAAGCCCCAGTTAAGAGAAGGAGAGTGCGGAGCTCCTTGGAGGAGAAGAGCGCTGCTAAGTGGCAGGGCCACGCATTGTCTGAGGCCAGGAGAGAGTGGGATTGGTGGGATCGGTCCCAAGGTGGAAGTGCGTTTGGCACAAGGGTCAATCGGTCCTTGTTCTGACGGACCCGTCCTGGGGTGTTGGACACCTTGTGTGGAATAAAGGCCTGGCCGATCGAGTTGAGCGTTCCCACGGCATGAAGGGATGTGCGAGGGGCCACCGACATCTTTTGCCTTGATAGAGCTGGCGGCCCCGCTCGCAGGGTGCGTGCGCCTGGACATCCACTCGAGACTCGACAGCTTCATGGAGCTGCTGGCTTGCAAGGTCCGAGCCATCATAGGCAGACTAGGCGGAAACGCAACTCGAGGTCTAGAGGTCTGCACTCCAACGCAAAAGACGCTCTACATGGATCCGGAAAATGCTGCCCTTTCAGATGGAGAGACCAGTGATCCGGAAAGCTCTGTGGCGAAGGAGATGAGATCCAAGCACAAGTGCTACAGCCTTCCGCCACCGCTCCAGACTTGGTAGGTTCACCTCCAAGGAAGCTCGGCAGCCGGCAGCGGACTGGATGACTCTGCGAGCACTCACGGAGCTGCTCGGCAAAACCTGGAGCGTGCGGCAGCGAAGGTCGCGTGATCAGGACCTCAGGAGCATAACACGAACGGTTCTGGCGGCAGCCGAGTTGGGGAATGGGCTTTGCGCCTTGGCGGCCTTGGCTGGCTGGGCAGAAATGCAAGGGTCTGGAGAACGAAGCGGGAAAACGGCGACGTGAGGCGCCCCTGACGTCGGAGGTGAAGAGGGCACAGCTTACGGCAAGCTCGTGGAAGGAGATCGTGGCGCGATGGGGCTGCGTCACAAGGAGTGAGCGGAGAACGCGTGTGCGGGGGCGAAGGGCACGTGGAATGCCCCGCGAGGAGTGGCTTGTTTGGTCCAGGACTTGGAGGACCGAGCCGCGAGTGGGTCGGCTACAGCCTCCTTAGCGGATCTTTTGGGAGGTTCCCGAAAATTGCAGGCAAGGTGGTCGAGATAGTTGGCCCGCCTGCAGACAGTAAGGGTTCAATCGCTGTGGGAGGCATCCAAACTTCGAATACCAAAGTCGGCAACCTTGGAGAAATTGAGGCACCAAAGCTGAACCTGGGGGGGTTTGAGAAGCTTGGCCATTGAGATCTGCCGGTCCGATACGGACCGCAAACATTGAGACATCATGTGAGATGTTGCTCTTGAGCATGCTTACCCCCCATCCTAGAGAACAGTCAATATAAAGGTAAAGTAAAACACTGCTTTGCTGAGTTCTGCAAAGTACGTCAGCGTGCTAAGAAGCTTTTATGAAGCAAGAAGCCGCCCTCGTGCGCTCCAAAAAAGCATGCCCATGACGCTCCTTTCATCACATCTTTCGCAAGCTAAGAGGCTATAGGAATATCTACGAAACTCTCAAGCGCCACTGGCCGCGACCCAACCCGGAAGCCGGAAGCCGGAAGCCGGAACACGATAAAGCTTTCAAAGCGCTCGGCTGCAGCGAAGAAACCCAATCGAGACTCTAGATTAAAACCAGCTTATTCCCAATGTAACTTTCAAACTATACTCCACGCGCTGGTCAAACATGCGGTTGTCCTAACATACCAATCATCCAATCGGCCACAGGTGAGGAATATAAAGCTACATGCTTCCAAAACACCCACAAAAGCACCAGTCGGCAAGTTTGGGTACATCTCGGGCAGTCAACAAGAATCGTGACCCAAACTGAAGATAAGCCGATTGTTCCTCACACTTCTAGATGCGGCCTCCACAAGTTCGACCCGCCTCGGCGCCTGGGTCACCGAAGTCGTTGTTGTCAAGGTCGATCGTCACGATGCTTTTGTTGAGCTTCAGTGCCTCAGCGATGGCCTGGCAGAGCGTCGACGCCGACCCTGTAGGACCTATACGGCTGGAAACAAAAACACCCAAAAGGTTGAAGAGTCCACTGGGAATTTGGAGATTTCACTTGGTAGCAACTAACAAGTTGGTGAGAAAAGACTCGCAATGATGTCAAAGAGATCGAGAAAAATGATCGAAGAAAGAACCACATACTGGCATGGGTTGCCTTGACAGTCCGACCGCAACCTCAGCGAACTGAGAAAATATGGGTGACAGCCTAAAATATTGGCTGCCTGCCTTCCATAGCTTCAAAAGCTCACGAGCCCGACGCCGTCGGCGAGTTCGGCAGGAACCGGCCGTGGACGTTCGTTCCCTATTCGCTGCGGAAGCTGAAGCTGAGATGTTCCTGGAAGTGCTGAAGGGCATATTGGAAGAGGAACTGGGCCCTCAACCTGCAGCGCAAGATCGGGGAGCTCAGGGGTTCGGGAACTTGATGCCTGGGCTCGAATCCAAAAGCCGATCCTCGAGCTCAAGCCGCTGGGGAGCATCGAGCGCAGATACACTCGAACTCGTTGGGCGACGCCTGCGAGTCTAGAGACGAAGTCTTGCCCTCAGGCCTCGGGCGGCCCTGGCAAAGGCCCTCGATCAGCGCGGCCCCACTCCAAGGCGATGAAGGGAGGCCCGAGGAAGGGGAACCCGACCGCCACGACCTCAAGGAGAAAAGGCGGGGCCAGCATTTGCCACCCAAATGGCTGCAAGAAGGTGCGACCTGCTCCTATCGCCATTGGGATGAGGCGAAGCCCCAGGCAACGGAGGTGAAGAACACGAGCGCTGCTAAATGGCGGAGCCACGCATGAAGTTGAAGAGATGGAGTGACTGGAGTGGGGGTGGTCCGATTTTGGCACAAGGGTCGATGTGGCTGAGGCAGGCTCCAAGGACCCAGATTGTCATCCCTGGGCTTCCTCCCGCAAACAGGCTTCGCTGTTCACAGCTGAGGAGACCTGTTCTGCTCCTCACCCTGAGCGTCCTGGAGCTCTGGAGGAGGCTTTGGAGCTGGAGACAGCGACCCGGTGAAGTTCAAGAAGGTGAAGTGCTGTCAGTGATCCATCGCAGGTTACGGGAAACGCGGTGTCTCTGTATTAAAACACAAGGGGCACTAGAGCAAGCAGAAGCCTACAACCTACTTTTCTACCCCATCAGTCAGACCCGCCCCCCAAGATCGCCCATATCAAAACCCATATAAGTTTCATAACACGTGCCTAACCAACCTCATAATCAAAATGTTTTAAGTTATTCATTTTATAAAATAACTTAAACCATTTCATACATCCTTAACCTCAGTCTTTTCTAAATTTTCCTTGTGCCTGTAAGTCCGTTCATGCTTTGGTTTATGTGTCCTTTTTATATCACAATTACACACATCGCAATGATATACTACTTGTTGTTTCCTTCTGCTCTTTTCACGACACATATCACAACGTTTATAGGGTTCAGTGAATAATTTCACATCCTTATCTCTTTGACAACAAGAGCATTTTTTCCATAACCTCTACTACACTATACCAACAACCCTTTAACCCCTTTTTACTCAGATAGGTTGAAGGTTCAGGCAACGAAGTTGCCTAAGAGGTTTGATAAATCAAACCTATCCCTTATCAAAAAAAAACAACAACAAAGAAACCTAACAAAAAACCAAACAAGGAACAGAACACAGAACATTCCAAAACAACCAATCAACGAAACATTCCAAAGCTTCTTTTGAACAAGCCTGAACATAAATCTTACAATGTTGTTATTGTAAGGTTTATGGGTTAATCTTCTTCAAAAGGCATTATCTTAAACACAGGACATTCTACAAACTGATTAAAGCAACAATATTTCCGAAAACTCTTGTCATCATACATATACTTAATAACTTTGTTAAAGTCGGCTATTGTTTTGTCTGATAAATTTGTTTTAGACAGTCTATCCTTTTAAATGAAAAGTTAAACTCTTCTCTCAATACCTTTTTATCTGGAAAGAAATGACATTTAACAAACATATATGTCAGTTTATCAATCGCTTTACATTTGTTTTTTCTTTCAACAATTTTAGGTAGTCTCCTTAGGTATTGGCAGTCTTCACATTCTTGATAACTAAATTTACATATATCATTGATAATATTTTGAGGTAAATTTAATTTACATAATTCAACTTTTTTATCTTCTAATTTGCAAGGGCAATTTATGATTTCAGTTTTCATAATTTTACACATATCACTTACATAAATTGTATTCAAGAATTCGTCAATAATATTTTCTTGCTCAATGTCACTAAACATTTTCACTAATATAAATAGGCAATATGTCTTTAAACCCTTTTTAGTCTAAAACCTATAATTTTAACATTTCGTGTCGTAATAAAGGTTTAGGAAAATCACTAACATGATAATACTTCTGACCGAGTTTTCCTCTATCCTTTCCACCGTATGGGCTGATTTTAACCAGTGTGAAGTTTGTTGCTTTTCTGCTATTCCCTTTTTCCTTCTGATTTTAACTTTATCCCCCACCTCTATATTTGGATATATGCGGGAATGTTTTGCTTTCATTGATATATTCAGTTTTACTTCAAATTCATTCTTTTTGAGTTTTGCTTGTGCTGGTGTAAAACCGGTTGTTGAATGGACTAATTTATTATTATAAGTTAATAGAATTTCAAATATGTAGTCGCGCCAATCAATATCCTTTTTTCCTTTGTTTTCATCTGCTTCAACTCTTTTATACAACATATTCTTGAATGTTTTAATTGCTACTTCGCTAAACGCTGCGTGGTTTCTTGTTGTGTAGTGTTCTATGCCTTTCTCTTTCAAATAATCTTGTATAGATTTTGTATTTAATGCTCCTTCATCATCGGTATAAAGAAGGCGACAAACACCACCCATTTTATTAAACCCTTCAATCAAAGCACTTGCTACATCACCTTCGCTTTTGCTTTTAATAGGTATTACAGTCATATATTTTGAAAATACATCTATCATTAAAGCACCCACTTTAAACTTTTGGTCAGGGATGTCATTTATGAAAAACAAATCAAACTGGAATTCGTGAAATGCATTTGGATTCTGCCCTCTTGGTTTTGTCTTGAGTTCTATATTTTTATTAAACCAATCATCTACATCCGATTTAGTTATTGGCCGATCTTTTTCTCTACTTTCTTGAAGCGTCCGGCTTTTAGACCCATAACCTGCTTTATCATAATAAACACTTGCTATAATTTCTTGTTTAGATTGCATATAAATAAACAAGAAATTATATTAATCTATCTTTTCTTTAAACATATTTTCAAGTATATCTATAAAATCTAACTTTGTTTAAATCAGTCGCCCTAGTCAAACTAACATAAAACCACTCTCTGCTTACATAGGATTTATTCCAATCATATACAATAATATCATCAACAACACTACACCCTTGACAAGAATGAGCTGTATAACAATAACTGTAAATAAACCTGTCCCTCAATATGTTTATTGCTATGCTCTGTTCTTCCAATGTTTTAACATTTTGTAGATGGATAATTTCATCGTCAATCTTGGTCATTCTGTATCTGATATTTACATTAAATGTAAATTTACCAACTTTAAAATACTCTTTGCAAATAACAATGTCATCAACTTCATACTCATTTTCTTTGTTTAACAATTTACGGATTTTATCAGAAACATATTTACAAGTTTTATTTTCGTAAGCAATGTTGTTATAACAAGTTTCAATTTCATCAACATATTTGAAATACTTTTCTATTATGTTTTTATATGGCAGCTTGTTTATAAAAATGTCATCTTTAATATTTTTCAATTTCAATTTGTCTTCTTCTGTCTTCAATCTTTTACATTCTTTCAAGAATATTTCATATTTAAACATAACCTTAACATATTCATCAGCGCATTCTTCAAATGTCCTTATGTTTGAAAGTGGCTCTAACGTTGGCAGTTGGTTAGTATCACCAGTAGCAATTATGATTTTATCTTTTTTGTCTTCAGTAATGAAAGTATTGATTCTTGATAATATTCTTGGAGGGTTAAAATATATTTCATCAAAACAAATAACATCATAGGCACTATAATCAAATGTCGGTAGTGCTTCGCCTTCATCAACAGCAATTGAAAAGAACTTATTTACTGTGGCACTGTCGCAATCGCAATTTTGCCCTAAATGATTCGTCCCGACTACAAACAATACATTTTTACCAAGTTTTGTAAAGTATTTTGCTATATATGACTTTCCGCTTCCTCCGTATTCTGCTTTAATCATCACTGGGTTTTGTTTAATAATCTTCTTACATATTTCTTCTGTATTCCATTCATCTTGAACATCAATATTGAAAGTTCTGATTTTAGGTATTTCTGGAACTTCATTATATTTATGTGTATATGAGTTGGTAGGTAGTTGGATATGTTTTTTATCTTCTATCCTCCAATCGCCTATCTCATTACCACATTTCAGCAGTCCATTGCTTCTTCCAAATAATTGAAAACGAAAAACTTTATCTAAATCATCTTCATGAATAGTGAAGGCATCTGTTTTAACACTATACACCTTGACATTATTATCAGTCATTGTTTTGTAAGCTTCATACATTTTGAAATTATGATATTGTAATAGCAATTCTTTTATCGGCAGAAATCCGTTGGTTAAAACTTTTTTGTCAGCAACATTCAACACATAGTAAGTTTCACCAACAGGAGATTCTTCTAATTGAGAGCTATCTTCATCTACTTCTACCAATTCCAATTGGCACTTGCTGATTGTATATATTTTACTGTTTGGATATAGGCTATGGTAGTAACAGGCTTCTTTCAATGAACTAAATACACTGCTTTTTTGCGAAGTGTTATGCGATTTTTCAAGCATACCAGCGCTAATGTTAAATATTGTCTTATGGAGTTGCTTATTCAGGTCTTCGTTATCAGACAGTTTTGTATCATACAGTTCATCAGTTATTTTTTTGTAATTTACTTTGTATACATGGTTGTATACATGGTTAGGTTG